AAAAAAAAAAAAAAAAATGTGTAAACTATAAGAAGTTTGTGAATCTCTTGCCTGTTTGTGTTCACGTTGAAAGAGGTTGTCCTCGGTGTAAAGTCACTTCGTCTGAGTTTGCTCAAGCCCATGCAAAACTGTAACTGCCAAAACGCTCCATGCCCCTTCCCACTTGTGGTCCAATCAGTTGCGGAAAGGAGCATTTCCCCCCTTGCAGCTATATGTCAGAGGGGCAGGGGATGCCTCCACCACTGATTGAGCCGGGAGGGGTGGTCACAGTTTAAAGTGGGCTTAGGGGAACCAAGGCCAGGCTCATCGATAGTTTGGACACATGAAGAAGGAGGAACGGATTGGCCGGCTAAAGATTCCATAGCATCCCTTAAGGCAATCCCCTAAAGTCAAACTCCAGCATATTTCCACTCCAAAATTCTTTTTAATTTCATTTTTTTCCCCCACTGTTTGGGATTTTCCCCCCTCGCTTCCTGTCAAGACAACTTGTTTTTGGACTTATGACAGTTCAAGTAAAAGAAAAGCTTTTGCTCCTGACCCAAACTGAAATGACATAACAAATATCTCTTCACTCCCACACACTTCTGTTCCAGTGGCAATCCTGTATAAAAGTAAAAGTCCCATAAAGCTTAAAGAAGAACTATGGGGTAAGTGTTTTCCCACATAGTTCTTTTAAGGGTCAAGGGAGGACATATACTAACCTCCTCCCATGACCCAAAGCTCAGTATATCGTGAGCTACAGCTGCCAGGTATACTGAGACCGCCAAAGCCGGGATGGATCCCGACAATGCTGTCGAGATCCACCCAACTACGTGAGTGACAGCTGGCTCTGCCTATCTAGAGGCAGAGCCAGCTGTACGCTCCCCAGTCCGTTCCTCCAGTCAGCGCTGGAGGAGCGGGGAGAGGGAGGAATACCTGTGGGGAGGGGTGACTGATGGTCACGGCTGTCTGCAGGGAGGTGAGCGAGTGATGGTATGTGTTCACTCACTTCCCGATCTATTGAGCCGATGTGTGACAGTTTAATTGTCACACGTCGGCTCGAACTAATGAGGATCAGTGATTTTCATTCACTTCATAGTTCTCCTTTTTTTTAATGGTAATTTTTGTTTTTTTGTGTTGGGTTTCATGGTCTGGTAAACAGACATGTATGGGTTTTTGTTGTTTTTTGTTGTCGCTCCATCATATAGTAGCCATCAGTTTATAGCTGATGTTACTGAGCAGAAAACATGTGAGCAGCTTGTGAACTTCCCATCTGGACATGTCTTTACAATTCTACCCATGTAATGCTGTAAACCATGTAGTTCTCTTTTCTGCTGCAGAAAATGAATGGCCATTATCTCTAGAGCCAAACTTTGTATAATATAAACCCATGTACTTTGTATGTGCAAATTATTGTGACATAGTTCATTCTTCATTTTTGCTGTCCTGAATAATGGTTACAACCACTCTCAGGTTTGCCATCTGTCTCTCCGTTGGAGAAATTTCCAATCAGATCCACTTGTGAAAGGGACAGGAAGGGGGATACGACTCTCTAAGGACAGACCTAGATAAAATCACTTCTTTTTTTGTTATTACAGGCATGGTAGGGGGGAGAACTTTTCAGGTTTTCATTGCTATCTGGGTCCCTGTTGTCAGAGTTCCTTGCCTCTTTTTGTGTCAACAGAACAGGACCTAGGCAAAAAATCTCATACTCTTATTTATTTAATCTGGGCCTCATTTTCAGCTTTGTGTTCACTGCACTAAAATAGGTATTTTATCTCGCCTTGAATTTGGTCAAGGTTTGGAAATGTTACCAAAAAAAATCTGCTGTTCATAAAATCCAAAGGTTTATCTCCTATATAACTCATCATTAGTCGTAGAGGCAAAATATCCGAAGGGTCCACACTGGTATCTTTTGTGGAAATTGTACCCTTCCGAATGACTAGTTGTGATGACTGAGGATGTCTGCCACTGAATACAACTATGGTGACTAAAAATATTGTCTATGACTACACACCACCAAAATGCCACAATGAATTATTAATGTGTCAGGTCCCAGAAACCTATATTAGAAGTGGCCTTGTTGCCTCTCTGTAAAGACTGAGTTCAGTCGTAGTCGGTACCAACAATTCTCAGATGTGCCAGTTCACTGATGAACTGCTTTTAAAGAAGGTTTCTTGGTTACAATGTTACTATGGCAAGTAGTAATAGAAAATGTTTGTATAGACAATGTTCTATGAATAACACTTTATGATCACTAAAATGTCACATTTTTATTTAAAGTAAACGCTATTTATTTAAATCTAATTTTTTGTATTAGCGACAAAGCTAGCCATGGAAAAGTAGGCATGGTAGACAAAGCGCAAAATGCACATTGTGGAGTCTGTACCGCTACCAGCCACCATCTGGTTAGCCGGGTATTGGAGGTTTCTTGCCCTTTGTTCTGCTTCACAGATAAATCACAGGAATTAGCAACCAAGCATGCACATTGCTATTGATTTAGAGATGAGCCTAGGCTTGGTGTGAACCCAGTTCGCCTAAGTTTGCACAAGCCTCCTGAAAACTGTGACCACCAGTCCCACCTTCCAGGCCAATCAGTGGCAGCAGATGTAGTGGGGAGTATTTTCCGCCTTTGTGACCTATAGGTGGGGGCAAAGAATGCGTCCATCCACAGCCGGGGGGGGGTTGGCATTCACAGTTTTTGAGTTGGATTGGGTGAACTGGGCTCGCACCAAGCCCTGGCTTATCGCTACTGTAGATAA